AAGGACAGGAGAGCTTCTTTGCATAAGCTTCCTCAGCTGTGGGTAACACACAGTTTTCAGACATTCACCAACAGGCCTGAGGACATTTTTCTACTCAAAGTTGCCAGTCAAGATCTTAAATCTCAAGCTATAAATTAAGTTTTAAAAGCTACTCTAGACTGGATAGTTCTGTAGCCACTGCATATGCAGACTTGCAGCCACTAACTTCTTCTGGAACATCACAAGAGGTGTTTGAAGAAGGAACAAGAGTTTCTAACAAGGTCATTTTGATCAAGCTGCATCCCACTATAAAGGGCATTTAAGACTTCTGAAAGCAGGTCTGGTCAAAAGATAATACTGCTGCTTAAAATTGATAACAAACTAGTCCTTACTTCACAGGGGAATCTTACTCTACTTTGTAAGGGATAAGCCTGCTGTAGGCTTGCCTTTTACATTCACCTCATCCATTCAACCCTGCCTTGCTACTTTAAGCCTCAAAAAAGTGACATTTCTGCTTCCTTGACTAGGGAGCCTCTGGCGCTACCTCAAAGACAACAAAAGAAGTCTTCTGTTATTGAAATGCCTTTTGAAGGACAACGTTCAGCTATGAACTATTTGTAGCTAACAAAAGATAGCTATCTGCTATCTCCCTGAACCCTTGCTTAACTATATTTAGTTAGGCTGCTTATGAATATACAAAGTCACCCACTATACTCGTTTCCTGCACAGCGTCGGGAGACTGTTTTGTCTACAGTGACATGCCGTACGGAGTCAGTGCTATCCGACAGCCTCTCCGCGTTTACGCTTACACGGCTGCTGGTGCTGCGTTAAACGCGAAGCGTTCACCCTCGATTTCCTACCACGACAAGGAACAGACGTAACCGCGTGCAAGGCGGGTGCTCACCCAGCTTAGGCCGGAATTACAACTTGCGAGTGAGGTTTGTGCAGCACGGAGAGAGGGAAAAACTGCAGGCTGCGGCGTTAGCGCAAGAGGCAGAAGGGCAGGCCCGGCGAAAGGAGCGGGGCGCCGCCAGCTCACCCGCGGGCCGAGCGGCACAGCAGCAGCAGCTTAGGCCGGAATTACAACTTGCGAGTGAGGTTTGTGCAGCACGGAGAGAGGGAAAAACTGCAGGCTGCGGCGTTAGCGCAAGAGGCAGAAGGGCAGGCCCGGCGAAAGGAGCGGGGCGCCGCCAGCTCACCCGCGGGCCGAGCGGCACAGCAGCAGCTCGGCCCGGCAAGTCCCGCTCCCTTACGGACTTCAGCCTTTAAATCCCTCAGAGAGCACCGGCGC